CGGCAGCTAAGGTTACTGAGATATCGCTGGCATGCAGCCGGCTGGAGCGCATCCATCAATGCGTTTTGCGGAGGTGAAACGGTTTCATCTAAAGACCTTAGATGGATGGATGGATGGATGGATGGATGGATGGATGGATGGATGGATGGATGGATGGATGGATGGATGGATGGATGGATGGATGGATGTATATGGCTGTACCACAGAACACCTACCCTTTAGATCGGGCGGTAGCTAGCGCTACCAAGTCGTAATACTTAATGAACCAAAAGCTAGATTTATTTTTTTTTCCTTAAATAGTGAGGTTGAGGATTCATACTTTGCGGCGAAGGGTTCAATTTTCACTCGTGCCTTGACTTTAGCCACCGATCAGATAACCTCCTTCTAGTTAATTCTACCCGCTTAAAGTCTATTTTGCCCTCACTGTTCCTAAACCCCAGAGCTTTGAAAAACTCTGCGCCATCAACCTAAACTACAGGGTGAAGCCCTTTACAGAACATCATCAAGTCTTCGGCAGTTTCTTCTTCCTCTCCACACGCACTGCATACCGTGTCTACCCCTTCGTATTTGGCCAGATATGTCTTTGTTCGCAATACTCCCGTCTTGGCCTCAAACAGTAGAGAACCACACCGAGTATTATTAGTATCATAAATCCTTTTCTTGGCTATTCCCTGCTTAAAAGTTGGATAGATCTCCAGTGCGGACTTCTTAATCATGCTAATTCTCCACATATCGGTCTCAGCTTCCTTCACCTTCTTCTTAACCGATAATTCTGTTTGGTTTGGCCCCCTGCTGTTTTCTAAGTATTTACCAGTCAATTTTCTGGTTCGCTTCCGCCATTTTGTATCAACACTCTTCATGTACAAGTAGCTGAATACCTTCCTAGCCCAACGCTCCTCCCCCATTTCTCTCAATCGCTTCTCAAATTTTATCTTGCTGCTAGCTTCCCTGCCCTCAAACTATGTCTATCCCTTATCACCTTGTACTCCTTGATTTGGTGTGTTCCCGTGAGCTCCTAAAGCAAGCCTACCTATTCCACGTTGCCTAATTTCTAATCTTGCTTGAACTTCTGATCTCATGCACAAGACCGCATTGCCGAACGTCAGCCCAGGAACCATGACCCCTTTCCATATTCCTCTCACAACATCATACCTATTGTAATTCCACAGTGCCCTGTTTTTCATTATACCGCTGCATTCCTGTTACCTTTAGTCGACACGTATATTTTGTGTTCCCTTAGGTACTCGGCCCCATTGCTTATCCATACGCCCAGATATTTGTATTTATCTGTTATCTCTAGTGTGACCTCCTGTATTCTAAGCTCACTACCTTCATTGTCATTAAAAATCACGACTGCTGATTTTTCCTTACTGAATCTAAAATCTAACCTATCTCCCTCAATACCGCAGATGTCCACCAATCTCTGCAAATCTTCCTTGTTGTCGGCCATTAGCACTATATCATCTGGGTACATCAATGCTGGTAGTGCCTGTTGATTTCGTTTTCCTTGTTTGACGAAAGAGAGGTTTAAGCCCAGTCCACTTTTCTCTAATTTGGCCTCTAATCCTTGTAGGTACATCATGAATAACAAGGGTGACAGAGGACACCCCTGCCTAAGCCCCCGTTCCACCTCTGTGGGCTTAGATACCTGTTTTTCCCACTTGATAACTACCTTGTTACTTTTATAGATCTCTTTTAAAAAAATTAGTGACTACATCTTCCACGCCTAGTGTGTCCAGTATTCCCCACAATTCCTCTTGAACCACGCTATCTAGAAACGGTGAGCTAACGGCGCCACCACAGAGCTACGGCGGCAGGCGGTGACAGCCATCATTGCAAAGACTGAGGGGTGAGCGGGGGAAAGAGTCGAGTCCTGCTAAGCATAGCAAAGGCCGTAAAGGGTGAGCGGGTGAGAGAGTCAAGTCCGACCATGGGCCTATACCTCTTACCAAATGACAGTAGTTTAGGCACTGCGCCGTGCTCCCGACCAGGCTGCAGAAATTAGGTGCCTTTTCTCATCTTCTAACCACTACCACCACAGTAGTATCGAATAAACAACACCGCTTTCAATGGCACAAGCCACGTCTTGTGTTCGGTGGAGCGAAAAGAGGCTCGTGATTTGAGGGGATTGACTGCTTTGTGAAGCCGCTGTAACTTAATTGTACGTCGACGGAAACACCACTTTCACACCACCTTGTCCGACTATCTTTTTCAGTCGGTGGTAAGTGCCATGCACGTAGGGTAAAACTACAGGTCTTTTACGGTCATTTGATTCCGGCTGTGCCTCCGAGTTCCGGTATTTCTTTAGTTTCAATAGGTTTTCAGCTATGGATGATAGTATACGGGGTACCCAGCACTGAAAAGCCGTTCAGCTTGAGCTGCAAATTTGCGCTTCATGACGTAATGCCATTATTTCCTAAGGGAGTAGATGAAACAAACATTATAATGCTCTATTTGATGCATATATGATGCGATTTGCCAATAAAACTTAGAAGTTAGCGCTCAGTTCGCTTGTGTCGCTCTGCTCGGCCATTCCTTATTTACCGTAATAAGCACGAGAACGACGAACCAATTCGCCCAAAACTTGCACTTCTTTTGAAGGAGATTTGTTTGCGCTGGCCATGACAGGGGCGGATCCAGCCACACATTTAGGATGGGAGGGCGGTCGCCTGAAAGGGGACATGGTCATGACTGTTTTTACAAGCAGAAAAACCCCTTCATGGCATAAATACTGTTTATGTGAGCTCACACTGGCTTCAATCATTCGTCCTAATTGCTAATAGGAGGTAGATCCACCAGTGGCACCGGCTATACAAACGATTGGGAAGTGTTCGCGAAACCAAAAAACCGCACACTCGAAGACGATCAGTCCGAGATCTATAACAAGTACGATGCGGGGATTGCAAAGCAACATAATTACATCGGCGAAACGGGCATGAAAAAAAAAATCAGAAAAGAAGTTGCTAAAGCCAATCATGCAACCAATCTTGAGAACGTAACTGTTCAACAGATTGACAGGGCCTAGCTTTGACCAAAACAATGCGAAGAAACTGGCTCACGAACGACAGCAAGTAGGGGGGGGGGGGGGGGGATTTTGGAAACTTGGTTCATTTTCCGAGCACCGGCTTGCAAACGCAACAGTCGCTCTCTCTTTGCAAGATGTGCGCCTACTAGATGTCCGCTTTTTATGGCGAGATTATACGGAGCATGTTCCCTGTATAGAAGGCAGAACGTCTGTCATTTTGTTATTAATTGCTGTATAAAGTTGGAGTATAGAGGCCATGTACAATCAGTTACAGAGAAGTTTAACAATAATATTTGGATGTTTTACATCCCTAGGTCAGACGCTGTAGTAGAAGGCTCCAGAAATTTTGACCATCTTGAGCTCTTTGACATGCATTCACATCACACAGCAGAATACACAGGCCTATAGAATTTTGCCTCCACCAAGCGAAAAGCGTCGCACTACCTGTACCGTTTTTACACATTTTCCAATATTACAATGAAGGAACACGAGAAGAAGCCATACCACTTTCGCGGACCGATGCTGCCAGTAATCTTCGACGACTTGTGCGTGAAATCACGTTTTCACTATAGTGCCCACCAAGCATCGATACGAATCGTCAACACCACCTGTCCTCTTTGATGGCTCTCCGCATGCCTACTGGACTCTACCGAAGAGAAGCCACCCTTCTTCATCGCTTATGGCTAGGAGTGGCATTTACAAAATCTTATTCCTTTGTCATAGGAATGGCCGATAACGCTCTCTGCGATGCCTGTAATTGCGAAGAGACGCTACACCACACCCTGCGTGACTGTCCGTGTTATGAAATCCAGAGACAGTCACTGGCGTCCGCTTTTGTGCGCATCGACAACAGCCAAATGTCTGTGGACACTATTCTGTCAAGTGCCCGAGAGAAGACATTGCAACAGAAGGCGACGAAAGCTCTATTGAAATTCCTACGCGACACAGACTTGAACAAGCTACTTTAACAGCAATGTCACACACCGCGAAAGACAAGACTGGACTTTGAGTATGCGCGCGTGTGCTGCCGAATGTGCTGTTTCTCTCTTCCCTCTCTGCTCTCTATCTTTCATCTTCCCCATCCCTCTCCCATGCGCAGGGTAGCAAACCGGCTGCCTATAGGCTGGTTAACCTCTCTGCCTTTCTTTTCCCTCTATTTTCCTTCCTTCCAATATTACAACTTCTACCACGAGAAGTTACTTTGAAAGTGAGAAAATGAGCAATAAATAAATCCAGGTGGCAACGTCAAATTCTAGTTCCCGCACAAGTCTGCCGTGCCATCATATCTGGCAGCGTCTACTGGGGCCTATGTGCATGGTTGTTTATTTTAAAAGGCATTGTCCTCTGAATGCACTAGAGGCTAGGCAACATAGTTTGACTAAATTACGTTGAGTTGATCAGCTTATAACAGGAAAAGTACTTTGAAATCCACGTCACACTCATATTCGTAAGCACATACATTAATGCGATATTTCCTTCCAATCAGCAAACCAGTGATCACACAATTCATCAGCCATGTTTTGCTTGCTCTTTTGTTTTCACGTCCTTTCAACCAAAAGAAGCCTGAATTATGTTGGAAGTAGGATTAGTGAGTATTATGAGGAAATATGTCTAGGAGTGAAGAACTTAAAATCAGTGCGATCAATATTTAGTGGTTACCAAATTGCAGGTAAAGGATTGTTTGTTCTGTTGCGTCTACCATGAGCTAGAAAGAGAAGTGTGGACTCAATTTGAGCACTGTTTGTGAACATACACATTGTAATCCTGATGCTGTTGACACCAAAGAAACCGTGCATAGAGGAACAAGTGACATGCCTTGAATGATGGTGATGTCCCAGCAGCTCGGCGGAGAAGCTACATGCACGCGGCAGTGTTGACCACAAAGCAGTTGCATGTGTTGCCGACTGCTCCCCAGGTCTGCATGGCCGCCAAGTACCACCAAACTGCCAGTACAAGTGATGCATACTTCCCTTCCTTCAGTGTATTTCATTGTGCTCAGTGTTTATTGGCGAAGTTAACAACAACAAAAGGATGCCATAGACCTCACACAAGTAACGAGCGCAGCAGCTTTCTGCAAGTGTATATATATACCACAGCTCCCATCTTCCAATAGGCTTGAAATGCAATTTCACACTATTTTTTTTTCTTTTAATTCTTTCAGTTGAGTGCTCCAGTGGGCATTCTTAAAACTGCTACAAAACGCACTATAATGTATTTAGAGGAAATTAACAGATCCACATGATTGTAAACACAAAGAATGGCTTTTGTTTTGTTTTTAGTGACTCACAATTGCCAAAAACGAGGGCCACAATATGTACTGCTAAGCATTTCATTCAAAAATTCCTCGGCATCCCTAGAGAGAGAAAGAGAGGGAAAAAAATACATGCAGGTATGCGTTTCTAGTGGCATCCACATTACCCTCAAAGTCAATCAAGTCCAACAACTGGGTTCAGTTTTAACTGACCGAGAAAAAAAATGATAAGGTACACAAATTGGAAGTTCAGTCCAGAAATAGATACAACTAGTCACTTGACGAACCACTTTTTTTTCCAATCCCCGGACCCACAAAGCAACAGCACAAGTCCTTGTAGTAAGTCCACACTGTCCGAGCACGCACAGGCCACACATTCCGAAACACTGCGCGTCTGCTGTCTTGCGGCGGTGTGTCCAGTCTGTCATTGGTCATCAAGTCCAAGTGTCCTTTTTTTTAGAGTCCATAGTTTTCATCCTTTTTCTTTTTTTACAAGTCCTAGGAGTCCCAAATTCCGACAGTCAAAACAAACACAAAGTAGTAGTCCATCCAATGATGCCAGTTCAGGTTTTTTCTTTTTTTTTCTTTTCAAGTAAGTCTCTTCCTTTCGATAAACCCGCTCACTGATAACAATTTGTGGTCACTAGCATTTTCCCACAAAAACAACAAGAGGAGGTCCGGAAGAATGCTGTGCAGCAAAGTTCCATTCACTGGCCCCCAATCCTACCAACAAGGGGAAAAAAAATATGACAAAAAAAAACCAAATGTCCACGTGTAAGTTTTCCCACCACCTTTTTTTTAATCTTCGTTACCACTTTGCCCACTGTTACCTTTTTTTTCTTTTGCTTTTCACCGCATTAACCACACGATAGGAGTTGAGAACCAGTGATGTAGAGATTAAGACAAAAGATATGGGCGACCAAGAACCACGCTCACAAGCCAGATGCAAGAGCAAGAATACATTGACAAGCGGCAAGGGGAGAAGAAGAGATTAAATGTTTGAGAAAGGGGGCGGGAGAAACCATCGTGCCAAGCTGTGGACAACTTTGGTGTTGGCGAATGAACCTAAAAAAACTGGTGGTAAGGAGAAGCTCTAGCAGCAGTAGAAGTACGCACCGATCCCCGGCACCTTGGCCCAGCATCATCGGACGCACCAAAGCACCTCCATTCTCCTGTTTTTAACTTTGGCAGGAAACCCCACCTCCCTGGAGAGTTATCCATTGTCGGTTAACAGCTGTGCGGCACAAAAATGAGAAGAGAAAGGCTATTTGAAAGGGGTATTTGCGGGGGTTTACAGAAAAAAAAGGGGGGAAGAGGAAAGAGATGCCTGTGGTCCTTGCCTCGGCGGAGGGAACACACATCACGCGAGGTGCACGCTCACACGTATAGCACACGCGCACAGCAGAACCACAGAGAAGGGGCCACGCCGTCGTTGCTGACGTCGAAGCCTCGGCGCACTGGGAGTGTCACGGTGGCATATTTCCAGTCGTCATCATCATCAAAGGGGTTTTTGTGGCAACCGGGGGGTCTTGCGAGTGGGAAAGGGGAAAATAACACCGCCGAAGGCCTTGCACCACACGCCACTTCACCTGTGAGAGGCGACGCAACTAGGCATGTTTTCAACACCGCACTGCTGCAGCTATAGATAGCTTGCACGTGACATCATCGATGCAACTTTGTAACATACTGACATTTTATGACAAAGGAAGGACAATCGCATTGCGCTTAGTCTGCTTTCAATATAACTACAATATATCCGCACTGTGCATTGGCCTCTGTGAGTAAATAAAAATATTGGAAGTGATGCAACGATAACGTTAACACGTCATCACAAGCCTCACATCCTACCATGCAGTTCACCAACAGGGGGCTTCTGGGACGAGAGTGCAAGCTATCTATTACTCATAACTCTGGGAAGCAAGTCTGAGATTCAAGAAGAAAAAAAATCCACAAAAGCAACCCGAAGTCTGCTGTGACCGAAAGGAGGCCGTAACAACACAATCTACTCTGCACTTATTGGAATTTGCTGCTGTTGCTTGCCTGAAAAGTGCTGTGACCGAAAGAAGGCCGTAACAACACAATCTACTCTGCACTTATTGGGATTTGCTGCTGTTGCTTGCCTGAAAAGAAACTTCAGGATATGATCAACTAATACCTAATTAATACTTAAATCATGCATTACCTAAGTATGCGATCACAGAGAAAAGTGGTTGGTTACGCATAGACATAAGTAGCAACAAAGAAAGTTATTGTTGATTACAATGCATAATTTAGTGTGATAGCTTGAACTGACCTGCTGTAATATGTATCGTAAACATTGCTCTTTGTCCTTGGTGAAATGGTTTTGCCGTCAAGAATAATTCAGGTATGTCCCAACATGCTTTAGACTGCCATTAAAAATGGTTGGCAAACTGTTTTAACCAGCTAGTAGCAATTTTTTTTCTTTTTAACCCATAGAACTAGCTATATTTGGCACTTTAAGCCATACGTAAATGCAGACCAAGTCAAGCAAACACTGTTTGTGATCACTACAAGGTTTTAGGCCTCATACTCACTAAGGTTTGGGGCATTTGTGTCAGCTTTTTTCGATCAGAGGTAGAGTCACCTACCATGTCATACAGTAATACTGTAAAATCGGATTATAGGTCTGACCTGGAATATTAATTGAACCCCCAAACTTTGATTTTCTGAAAAATAAATTTTTGAAAATCCCAAAGTATCAAGGTGCCCCCCTTGCCTTGGTAAGTACATGACACAACCAGCTGCACCGTGGTGACATCTCTTTTCATTTTACACTAATGTTATGTGAATATACACCAGAAGGCCACAAAGTGCTGTCACTCAGACTCGTCCATCCCTTGAATTGACCCCTCGTGAGCCCAGAGCTGCACGCTATCTCGAGAGCTTTCATGCGGATGCATTCTGCTGTTACAGGTAACGACCTTGCATGCACTCCCAGATGAACTTGGCGAGTAGCGTTTCCAGTTCAGGGCACACTGCAGTCCATCACCGAAGCTCTGTTTTTTTTTTTGGTTGCTGCAGGATGTGATGTGCTGATTCTGGCTCCTCCAGTATCGGACGCTTTTCACTGATGCACTGAATTCTCGCTGTGCCACCAGATTGCCGTGCACTTCGACATACCCCGACAAATTTTTTTCTTAAAGCCTATCGTAAACTCCAGTCGACTACCACTCATTTTTGAAGGAAATAGAAAAAAGAAAACAGCAGACTGAACCAGGTAACCGAGGCAAAATGGCGTTGCTAGAACATTGCCTAGCCTGGCCCAATCTGATGCTCACAATGGCAATGGAGGCTTTTCACTCCAGCTTCCCACTGTTGTGAGACTTCTTTTTTTTTTTTTGTTGCCAATGATCCATATATAAGACGAGAGTAGACTTTTCACTACGTGTTTTTTTTATCCGACATATATTCCAGTTTTTACGGTATTACCTGCCTGGGGTTTTACGCGCCAAAACCTACAATACCAGAGTGTCACAATACTGTTCCTCCACGGCTGCTCCGTGGCAGAGTGGCAACATTTATCGGCCACTCCTTCACGAGCTTTTTGCAACCATGCTGTGTGCTGGCGAGAAACGGGCACCGACATGGCACACATGTCGCCACCCCGAAAGAAGCTATGGGGGAGTAGGAGCATCGAGGCACCCCTGCACGATACAATAATGAGGCACACCATTGTGGAACGCTACGGCAATTTCAGAGATCTTGTTTACAATGTGCACCTAAACATGTGCATGGGCATCCAGTACTTTGCCTCAGTCAAAATGAGACTGATTGCTTGATTGATATGTGGGGTTTAACGTCCCAAAACCACCATATAATTATGAGAGACGCCTGTAGTGGAGGGCTCCGGAAATTTCGACCACCTGGGGTTCTTTAACGTGCACCCAATTGTAAGCACACGGGCCTACAACATTTCCACCTCTATCGGAAGAAATTGGGCATGTTGGTAATGCATAACCAGTGTTGCCAATTTAGCTATTTGGTTACCTTAACCTTAATTTAGTACCTTAACCACTAGACCACCGCGGCGGGGAGTCAAAATGAGACTCTCACGGTGGCATCGAACCCGCATCCTTTGGATCAGCAGCTGAGCACTGTAACCATTGGGCCACTGTGGCTCATTTCGCACAGCAAAACCTTGGTAAATGGTAATGGACGTTTGACCAGGGCATAAGCCTCCAATACGAGGCACAATCGGATATATATTTGTCAAGAAGGCATTTGGCCACAGCAAAGTTTGCGAGAACGAGAGGAAGAGAGAAGCGAGTTGGCAACAGGCGAGCTCATCAGAAGTTAATGTGCCTTATTTGCTGTCTGTGGGGTGGGGGTGGGGGGAGTATACGGGTATGCACTACAAAACAATGTTAGTCTTCTAAATGGTGTTTTTTTTTGTCTCGAGTTGAGGGTGTATTGAAACAGTAATAGACATAGCTGCTACAATTTATTGCTATTAGTCTTTCTGTATGGTCACTAAATGGTGCTGCACACAATGCATGCAAAGCTGGTCGTGTAGTAGGCATATTTTGCCTGAAAAAACTTGTGAAACAACTAAAACGGCTATGTTGTCATTGTACAGCGCCAAAAGGCATGGCCGCATCCCCTGGTGTACTACGTGAACCACCCAAATCAATAGCATGCAGCAAAACGGAACATGAGTTGCAAACAACAACCTCTGATCACGTCCTTCGTTGGTTTTGTACTTTACTAATGTGAAATAAGGAAGACAAATTAGAATCATAATATTGATTTCTCTCTCTGTAAATGCTGAAAATGATGAGACCCCTCAAGCAAGACAAAAATAGGACATCATTAATTCACTGGTCCATTTTCCAGTCCCTCTAGGTTCAGTTGAATTTGATTCTACTTCAGCTAAAAAACAGTATAATGGGTGTGCTCCAACCTTGCCTAGCCGTTGTGACGGTCAACTTTGACATCCAAACTTCAACCCTGAGTTGCCATTGTAGCAGAATGAGTGTTTTAAATGTGACAGCCACCTCGAATGCACACAGGAAGAGTTGTGAAGTGCACTTAACTGATTTTGAAATGCGAAGCAGCTCTGACTACCCTGTGTAATGCTGTCCCTCCGTCTGCACTGCGCTCCCCTGGCCTCAGCTGTTGGGGCGGTGCCAAGTAGGTCACGCCTTCCCTCGCAGTGTGCGTACGTTGACATCACTCTCTCCCTAGTCTGTCACCGCTCGCCACGTGTGACACACGCAAAATTGTCCCCTCCCCCTCTCTCACCTCGCAAGGCCATCTGCTAGTAAAAAAACCGACTGCTCGCACTGCACAATCATTTACTGGTCACCTCGTATATGTAGGCACTGGATCGCGCGTTCGGAATTCAGTCAAGGGCGCCTTTGCTTAGCTTTCGCTTGATGAGCGCTAGTGTCAACGTCGCCACCAGTGTAGGCGTTAGCGCCCACTGCTTCGCATCTACACTGTAACACATGGTTCCCTTTAACAGAAGATGGTCCAATATATATTTTTTTATTTCTTTACAGTTCAAACCTACAATAACTTACATTGGGTACAAAGGAAACTGCAAAAATGCTTTGTTCTCATCAAGCGACCTCCAAAGCGTTTTAAGTCTTCTACTGAGCTGACATCTCATTTCAATAACAAAGTCGCTCGCATCATTTTAATTACTTTGATGCAGTCTTCACTAAGAATCTTTTTTCTTTAGCCGTTCTGCCAAAACTGGTATGAGGTTTACTATGGCTGCTGTGTGCTTCATGAGCACTTTACAACACTAAATACAGCTAGCACTGACACTAGGTGCCTGTCCTGTCTACATTCACACCCAGTGCTGCAATGTCGATTGTCTGCCTTGTGGGCAGATAATCTGTTTTATCTGACATCATTGGACACGTACAAAACTGAGAAGATAGATACGTGGGAAAATTTTACTCACCACGCCTGCTGGTGGTGGTACCTTGACTGCATGTGGTGGTTGCTTGTTGGCATGGGCATCTGCTGCAAGGCCAATACAGACCACATAGAACATGTGCAAACGCAAAGTGTGACCGACACGCTATGAAGAGGAGTGCTGGCCTACCTTGTTGTCCTTCATTGCTTCTGCAGCTTTTAAATGATCAAGATTGGGCAGCAATCCTGGCTCTCCTGCAAAGTAAAACAGTTCGTTAACACATCCCATACAATGCTTGATCGGTGCTGTCACAAACCAGCCTAGAACTTCGATGATGAATCGAGCGAGCAGCAATAGGCACAAATTCTTTTCTTAAAACACTAGCAAATACACCCCTCCCGTACAGCCCACACTCAACAGTTGCACTACTTGTTTTCAAAGAGGGCGCCTTACTTGGTCTTGTTCGGCCAAATGCTCTTGAGTTGAAAATCATAATAAGTGCAACATTACATGCCCCACCTCGTAAAGTACCTGCCAAGAGAGTTTTAAAGGAAAACTCAAAATGTTTCCGAATTCAATTAAACAAGGACACATTATTTTCGATGATGCCAAGATTTTTTCTGTGGCTTTGGCTACAGAAGCTTCAGAATACGCGAAAGAAAAGTGTGTCTTACTCCGCGCCCCCGAGTGTGCTTAAAGTGTGGGCGAGGAAACGTCATCTTCGGTTTCTGTCACGGAGCCGTTTTTCACTCCGACATAAGGTTCGGCTGCTGGCTAGGCATGTTTAGCTGAGCCTTGCTAGCACTCAGCTACATTTAGATGTAGTATCTCGAGACAGTGCAGATATGGTAGTGTTGGGACTGCATAAATTTCAAACTCTTAAAAATCATGTTTAGACGAGCCGCGGTGAGCTTGGCTGCAAAACAACGGTGAAACCAAGTGAACACACCTACATCTAGAAATGCATTCTATGTTTTGAGCACTATGTGAGTAAGCAGCTCTCATATCTTCCAGCATGACAAACTCATGATGGCTCCATTACCGGAACTAATTGAGAAGGCCGCGCTTCAGCAGTGCTGCTGTTGCAGATGATGCGGCATACTGTCACCGTGTTCTCTCGTCGGCGTCTCAAGAAGTCCAGCGGCCCCAGCCTCTGTTTCTTCACAAAAAATTCCTATTTACGTTCACTCATGAGAACAATCTCGGCGCTTTTCGAATTCAACAGGGATCAAAGTGGCCTTACACGCTCCAAAGGCCCCTTTATTTAAGCACTTTAGCTTCCGATTAAAGCGTAGTTCGCAGTTGTTACCCCCAAGATAAGCCCTCTAGTCAAAATGTTCACACCTGCGACGTTCCCCATTCGAAGTCCTCTCAAAAGCAGTTAAATAATGTTAAGCACCATACAAGAGCCTAGCATTACACACGTACTTAGCAGTAAGCACTGCAAGTGTGAAAGTTCAGATTCTGTGAGCCGTTGATGCACCAGCTAGCGAAGAACACGCGAATCCGACACAACAAAAGTTGACAGCAATAGAAAATATAAATTCTTATACTATAATATGAATAATGAGTGCTCCTTATTAGTCAAAGACTGATTCAGATCAATTAGTGTTCTATGTGATAAATGCTGATGCACTTAAAACAACCGTGTTTTGACAGCCAAGCATGCAAGGCCCAGTAAATAAACAAAACAAACAGTTACTTTAAATATATTTAACCTTAATTCGAAAAACGAGAGCACAATTAAACCCAGCTTACCGCTGCCCCTTTAACGCACTCCCCCCCTAACAACAATGAAGAAAACATTCCAAACGCAACTGTATTGAGTTCACAAGTTTGAAAAACAACCCCTTATATCTGAACGTAGATTTTAATGCTTCAGAGTGCATAAAATTTATGACTGCAGCCAATGCTTTTTACAAGTTCAAGTAAGACATTTTAGCTGACAGAAGCAGACTACAACTTACTATTTAACAACCAGCCCTTTCATCTAATCTAGCTGGGACCCAACTGCCTAATGAATCCTCATTAAATACAACTCTTAATTAAATCTGACAGAGAAAATGATCTAACCTTTTTTAGTGCACACGGTATAAACTCGGAAAAACTGTAACAAATAAAACAAAAAGAAGAACAGAACACTCTTCGAAAATGCAAGACATCACATCTTCAAGCAAGAAAACAACAGCTAAAGCCACAACCCATTTGCAGCACCAAGCACACTAGCCTCAGCCAGGCCAAAAAAAAAAAAGACCGGCTACAGCGTTAACAAAAGGTGTGGCCAGACCTGGTCCACCCGCCGGAACCGAGGGAAACTCTCGTTGTTCGTCCTCCTCCTGACGCTTTTCATAATGGAGGAAATCGTCAAAGATGGACGTAGAGTGCCGGAAGCCATGCAGGATTTTGAGCACCTGTCGGCCCTTGTCCGGCGGCACCTCCTGGGTGTCCCGCGAGTTGGTCACAGGCTTGTTCTCGTTGTTCTCAAGCCGAATGTGCCGAAGCTGAGAGTTGGGCACGTCTTTGACATACACCCAGCGCACACGAAACTGCCCCTTCCACTTGTCCTGCGCCCATACCGATGAAGAGGCTGTGTAGTCCACAGGCGACACCATCTCAGCCATGCCACAGAAATGGCCTGACCCATTGACGCTGAAGAAGAGCAGCACAGGACCTTGTGCATCGCGGTAGGCAGCATCAAGCCGCTTGTTTCCATGCTCCGTCGAGCACCAGATGGAGTACTTGATGGATCGGTGGATGTCGTCCTCCGAGTAGCTCTTGATGATGAAGAAGCGCGCCCCTTTTGGCTCCAGATCAAAGTCCTTGGGGTTGTAGTTGTTCTCGAGTCGCAGTTTTTCCAGCACGGGATGCACATAGGAGCTCTCTGGAGGCGGGGGCGCCTGGCTCGCCCATGGTGCGGCACTGCCTCGCGGCTTTGCACCATTTTTTCCCTCCCAAGTGCCAATGTCCATCGGATGCTTGCTGGGCACGGTTGGAGCCAGAAGGGGGCTCTTGCTTTTCACTGCTTTAGGTTTGGCCGGTTGGCTCGCTAACCGACGCCCAAGACAGCTTCTTGTCACTACCACCCAGCTTCTTGGGGTCCTTGCCGTATGGCTCCTTAGACCCAAAGTCCTTGTCTGCACCCAAGGCCAGGGACCTCAAACCTTGCTCGAGATGTTTCAGCCCTCTGTCCGACACGCCTGCCTGATCGTAGTCACCACGATAGTACTCCTCCGGGTAACCCTTGCTCGCTGCCGCCGCTGCAGCGGGCTGCCCGGAATTCGCCGCTGTGCCCCACGTCGAGTAGTCACCACCACTGCCGGGGAAGAAGCCGAAGCCCTGACCGTATCCCGCAAAGCTGTTCTGACTGAACATTCCAGCCCCCCCATCAACGTAATGCTGCTGGTGGTTGTTCACCACCTGCCCCCATCTGACCGCCGTAGGAGCCAAAGAAGCCCACAGGGTCACCGCCATTGCTCCAAGCTCCATCACCAAGGCCCTGGTTCAAGTAAGGAAAGGACATGGACGCATAATAGCTGGGGATGTACGGCTCGCCCAGGTTCGATGTGGACAGGTGGGGCTGGTAGGTCGTCTGCTGCTGCTGCGCAGCTGGCTGGGGCTGCTGGTTCTGGTTGCGCCATGAGTCAAACTCTTCATCCTTGACCATATCCTTCGGGCCGTTGCTCACTGCTGTGATAAACAAACGGTACAAGGTTTTCTTAAGATTATCACGCGGCAAAGATTACAACAATATGCAACACATATTTCATGATACTGCATGATTGTGGTTCGGGTGCACACCAAGAGGCCTCATCTCCGTACAGCCTCCCTGGCCTGCTACAAGCCTACGCATATTTCTCAATTGCTCTATGGGCCGACACATATTTTCAATATGCTGCAGTGCAATAAACAAACAAAGATGAGTGCTTAACTTCCATCGTTTATTTGGAATTCATGCATGCATGTATGCTGTCCAAAGCAGTACATCAACACAAGCGTAATAATGAGAGCTTTATATCAGAAAGCATTAAGAAGACAATTCTCCATAACGCTGGCTAAATACTGTTTAAAAAGTTGTAATTTTCGCATGTACACTGAGAATGATGTACCGCACCGGTCAACATACACATAAGTGCAAACTCCAAATAAATGAAGAAAGTGCTTGTCTTTCTCGTCTTGTTTTGTCCTTGTCAGTTTAATGAGCTGCAGTTTTGTAAAAATATGTACCAACACACCCAGTTGCCACACATCCTACATAGCCGACCAACTCAGTGAAATAAATGCACTACAAATGCAATGAAGTGCCAGACTTTTTGTTGAGTGCGGCCAAACAGAATGCCGAAACTTTTGCTGGTAAATTACGCTTCAAATTTTTCAAGAAAGCCAGCCATAAGAAGAAAAAAATGCTACTACAAATAGTACACATTTCTTAAACTTCCAAAAACTGCTACTAGGAGTTCTCTATATTGATGGAATCTACTTGAATAGAGGTCCGGGGATAGAATCCTGGCCACGGCAGCTGCATTTACGATGGAGGTGAAAATGCTGTAGGCTCCTGTGTGTTCAGATTGGGGTGCATGTTAAAGAACCCCCAGGTAGTCGAAATTTCCGGAGCACTCCACTAAGGTGTCTCTCAATCGTATGGTGGTTTTGGGACATTAAACATCACATATCAATCAATCAATCAATCAACTTGAACTAATGTTAAAAAGTTTCAGTCTATTTAACAGGAAGCAAATACGGTACCTTAGGAAACTCTGGGCATAGATCAATGAAAGTAGTCAAGTACTACTACTGAAGTCAGCGTTATTTCATCCTTACAAGCAGGTGCACACAAGACTGCACCAACGGGTGCGCACTTCAGCCCGACATGTGCTACATGGCCAGCGACCCCGCCTTCGCAGAACACTGCAGGGTGCACGAGCCTTTCCTTTGAGCTTCTTGCAACTTACCCCCGTATTCAGAAACGCTCCTTGACTTGAACTTGAGACTGCCTTCAATGTAGTGCGTTTGAAATGAGTCTGTGCATTTCGTGCTATTTTAGAACCGTTTAAAGACAGCGCATTTCGAAATGCATTTGAGCTGCGTTGAAGTTGGTGGCAAGTCAAGTTCAAGTCCAGCAGCGTTTCTGAATACAGGCGTTAGGCTGTAAACCACCATAGATAATGCATGAGGCTACTGGCGCTGTAGCCCTTAGTTAAACAGCACCAAGACTTGGTCTTCACTTACTCTGCCTGTATTTAATTTCCTCCTATCGCATTAATAGAAAGTGTATTCCAAGTGACTGTTTCACCGGCTGAAGCTGGCATGACACAGAACGTTAGCATTTAAGGACGTTAAGTCTATACTACTAACAGTCAGTGCATGGTGGTCACGCCACTCTTCATTCCACAGGAGCTGTGTTATATTGTAAAGCTTCGAATGTATCCAACTGAAGCCACAGCACATGCAAGAGGCAGCAGCACTAGAGCCCATGATTGTTGCTGACTGGTTGCTTCCAGCAGTTAAAACTTATAACATGAATAATTATATTAATTAACTGGATATTTCGCAGTAATAACTTATTTTGTTATCTAATAGAAGCTATTTAGGAAACAGCAATGGGCCAGCCATCAGCGAGAAAAGCTGTAAGATGAAAGAGCGAGTTATAGTTAGGGCATCAGAACATAGCACACCTGTGGCGTAAATGAGCACGCCACGGCGGCACGAAAAAAAGGAAGTGGCCACGGCCCGCACAACTCGCTACGTCACTATGCCTTTCGCCTCCACTTTATCGCCAGATAACGTGTTCTGCCAACCCACCAGGGATGCCTTCGTTATCTTTACTTCATGAGAGAGCCACTCTTCCGAAGCCGCGCCAGAGGTGCACGGGGCTCAGTGCAGCGTTATCGTTGGCGCCAAAAGGAACAAAAACGCGGCACACCTCGGCTTTGGGGCAACGTCCGCGGTCTCCGTTGCCAGGCTGCTGTCAGAAAGCTGCGGCCGATCGACACACCTTGGCGCCGGGCATCGCACGTCGACGCCATCGCTCCTCCGTTAGCTCAGAGAACGGATGCGGGCGTGCCTTGCGCGGGCGGGTCTTTTCTCTCGCGCGCGCTGCTGCGACGTCGACAAGTATTTGCGCGACGACTACCTACGCGATTCACTCTCGACGACAGAAAAAAAAAAAAAGGCCAGGCTATCAACGTCTTCCGAGACGCACTGGCGGAGACTGGGTCGTAGCTTCGCCGCGAACAGCTGGTGGCCGATGCGGCGCTATGTTTCGCGACTGCATGCGTCATTCGCGTCAGTCGACCCAACCGCGGTCCACGCGCCGAAGCGTGCCAACAGCGGTCGCCGCCCTCTGCTCGAGGCGCCGCAACTGTTGGGGGCACACAAACGCGAAAAAGGTCGCGGGGATGAACTGCAGCGAACAAAATCGCACAAGAAAAGAGATACGCGTTTTTAGGCTTAGAATGTGCACCACAACATCGCCGCTTTTCCACGCACGGCACACGTGAAAGTCGGAGGCAGTCGCGGAAATTGTCGACGTTGCAGAAGCGCCGTGGGGTGTCGTACATGCCCGCAAGCGGCTCACGCGAGTTTTGTTTGCCAGAAGCACTTCTGTTGCTGCGTGGGCTGCGCGAACTGCCCACCACACACCCCGGGGCAACGGCACCACGGATTCTCACCTGGATTTCCTTGGCTTTTCATGCGTTGCATCTCCAGGAATCGGCAAAACGTGAACAAAACCACGGAAAGAAAAAAAATAGGTGGTTCAACTGTCAGCACAACTGCTGTCCCAAAGTCTTCGCGTCCCGAGCCCCCACAGAGCACTTCAGAAAAAACACGAACGTAGGGAGGCCATCTTGGATGTCGTTTGAACACAGCGAGACATCACACAAACCACTGTCGGCCGTCTTGATCCCTTCCGATGACTGGCTAGCGGTGTGGTTGGCTTCTATTTGGCGTATCTTATCTTTCCGGTGATTTTTTCCCGCACTGATCTGCTTATGCAGTCCGCGGAGAGGCTACAATTGTCTTAAAACCACCACATATGAAACTCGGGAACAATGGCGGCTCCTCATGTGCCCGACTCCCGCCTGAGATAGTCACGTGAATACGAACGTCATGGCGTGATGTTCTCGGCGATGAAGCCTTCACCCGTAATGCTACATTTCTGCTTTCTAGACTGTTCGATTTAGCAAGCTCACCAAACACGACATACTGCAAAAGGCAGTATGCCCGAAGGCATTGTCCGCACCGGTTCCAGCGTGATTATGACAAAAGTTCTCATGCGAAGCGTTTTTTTTTTATTTTTGAAAGTGCGCAGCACCGTTCAGCCTGACGGGCGCATATGTTTTATTAAAAACAAATGAGCAAATATATTTTGTTTAGTACATAATGGTTACTTTCTCCAATTTGTTTTGCGACAAATGAAGGATGTTTTCTTTCGAATTGACGTAAAACGTACGGTTCTTGGCGGGTCTTCGCACCTTCCAGAACCTTCGTTCACGAGAAGCAACGTTAAAGCTGCTTCTCGTGAACACTATAGCCACGTCTCGGCCAGAATAACTCTGGTTTCGGCAGCATGAAGGTTTATGTGAATACACTTTGCTTTTGCGCGGTCACATGATTTGCAGCGTATAAGCTAATTTTCTTGTAAATGCATCATAATTAAAAGGTACTCACAATTCAAGCCAATCGCACAATTTACTGTGAGAAAAAAAAAAGATTCTGTAAAATTATTAGATAGACAAAATTACTTTTTTGATATAGTTATGACTATACCTTGAACGTATTATAATTGCTTGCGTATGTATCCGCTTCGTGCACCAGTATGATGGCGCCACGTACCGCTTGCCTTAACCTAAATACACTCTAACCTAAAGCCCCTTGATCAAGGAGCTTCTGCTTAACCTAAGAATAAATACACGCTCCACCCCCAGTATCAAGCCCGCCTGTCATTCATCTGCTGTGCAACAAAGCAACAACTGGCAATTTCCGTTCTAACAATAAGCACGTTTTCGATGGTAATGCAAATACTACGCATATTGCAAATTGAAAGTTTGTCGTTACTTTTAAAAACGTTATGTTTTGCAGTAAAGTCGTAATTTATGATGAAATTTGGAAAGTAAAAATTTTTGACTGAAAATTAGAGAAATGAACACAAGTCTGCACGGACAAGCAATATGTCTGAAATCCGTCAAGTCTGTCTGACGTCACGTAAATAACGGACTGTAATAATTTGGGTAATACATGTATGCAAATTCTGGCATGGGTGGGACGGTAACCACTGTGGGCAGAGCTTGCATATCCTCTCACAACCCCCCATTCAATCTGAGTAAAATATGCGCTGCCATTGTGAAAAAATAAACGAGCGCTATCTCTCCAAAGCGTTTCACACCAATACTCTATTCCTCGCTTCCACCACCTAGAGCCTTGGTGGGCGATTTTAAGGCAATGACGCCAAAATATGAAGAAAATACAATTAGAAACTTGTGACATCATGCATGGTAAGCGCGAAATTTAAAAATGAAAGTTTGGTCTATCTTTCTTAATTACGGCGATGTTTATTTATTTATTCAGTTACCCTCAAGGCCCGAGGGCATTACAGAGGGGAGTGGGTACATACATACATGTACAGCATACAAAGCAAAATACAACAACAGAAAAATTGCAATCATCGCTTGCTACAGGGTTGAACTGAGGCTACGTACAAATAAAATTAGTGACGGCAATTGTTAATGAAATTAGTTTTCTCAGACCACAATTTATCAATTTAAACAATTTTATTGGTTCACTTTCGTGTACCTGCAATCTCGAATGATCACTTTCGGGGATATTCCAAGAGAATCAATGGTGCCGTAGGGGCCAAGAAATGGTGTCATCATAGTCATGTGGGTGGGGGGGTGGGGGCTTTTTCCAATAATCTAAAAGGGTTTGTCTCATACCTTTATTCAGTACGTCATATACAGGAAAGGTAAGCATGCTCTTACTATGGCATTGCATGGATTAAAAAAAAAAAACATCCGTGCAAGGTTTGCCTTCCAAGAACTGTTAGCGTCCCACAAAGCTGGAAACCAAAGGCAAACTGTTGAGATAAGCAAATAATCCCTTCAGTTGAATTTTCGTATCCATTACAAAGTTTGTGGAAAGGTTGTACCATTGCGCCTTCTTTCTGACCACGTGTTTTTCACAGAAGAAAAAAAAATGCCGCCATGATGGGCTGCGCGCGGCAGTACAAAGGTCATGGTTAATGTACCACTGTAGGCTAAAGGCACAGCCTTGGCAGTGCATTTCTGAGGGGACGCCAATTTGTGCAGCCCAGAAAGGACAGTGGTGGTGCCCAGGGAACCGTTTTTGTTAAGTTCTCGCATGATGCATCTAAAGACTAATTTGACTCTGACAGCTTAACGTACAAGTTCCAATCTCGCTAACGAAGGCGCACGCCAGATACCTTTAGAGTAGGGCCATTGGGCGTGTAAAACTGCGTTTGTGGCCACAGTTACCACTGAGCATGATTCGTGAGCTAGCCTCTTGGGTGCGCGCGTAAAATTCAACGCATTTTTAGGGGGACTCAGAGCCCTGAGGCCAACAATGTAGGCAAAGACGATTCTAAAGGGGCACCAATATTCAAGCCACATGAGGTCCGTGAAAGAAGAAATCGACATAAGCACAAGGGCCGAGTTAAATCAGACATAGGCTATATTAACATGCAGGGAGGCAGGTATAGGTTGAAGTGGGAAGAGATAGACGAGCAGTTAAGACAGAAGGAGCTGATGGTATGTGGGGTTGTGGAGACAGATCTTCGGGACATGGAGCAACCACCTTGCAATCCGGACTGCGTATGGGATCGAATATTACAGTAGAAGAGAAGACAGCAAAAAAGGGGGTGGAATTGGGATATTTATTCATAAATGTATGGGCTGGCAATAGTCAAGCAGGGATGCACGGAACACTTTTAAAGGGAAAGTAGCTGGGCAGATGACAGTCCTTGGTTTGGTGTACTTGTGGACGGGAGCAAAGGCCAGAAAGGAAAACCAGGCAATAGTAGAGTGTATAACAAATTGCATAGAGAAATTAGGAGAGTGTGAGATAATTATACTAGGAGATATGAATGCGCACATAGACGATATAGATGGGTGTACTGACCCAACAGGCAAAATGATCATGGATATCTATGAAAGGCATGATTTGATCATTTGCAACAGTACTGAAAAGTATGAAGGGCAAAATAACATGGGAGGTAGGAAGGCTGCAGTCAACGATAGATTATGCACTGATGTCGCATAGGATGTATGATAAGCTCAGGGGAATGCACACCGATGAAGGTGGCTCCAGAAGTCTGGGTAGTGATGACAAACGTATCAAGCTAAGTTTTGGAAGAGCAGCGAAAGTGGGAAGGAGACAAGATGAGCAACTACAGGAAAATTTTCACTCAGAAAAGTAAATAGAAATTGCTACTAAACAAATTGAGAAAGTAATCACTGAGAATAATAAAAATGTGTGGACATACACAAATCTAATTAGACTGTTTGGGCTAGAGCTCGCTAAGGCACGTGACAAGTCACCCCGGAAAAGAAGACGCAAACCCAAAAGTTCGTGGGATGAGGAAGTTAAGAGAGCAATAGCAAAACGTCAGGAAGCCTCTAGAGAACACAGGCATGCTAAGCAGCGGGGTTAACCGACAGATGATGTTAAAAGAAAATGGGACATATTTCTAAGCTGTAGAAGGGAAGCCTATCCCTTCTGATTAATGAAAAGATTAGAAGAAAGGGGGCTCAGTGGCTGGCAGAAGTACATAAAAAGGATAGAAAGGCAGCTGTAAAATTTTGGAACCCTCTGAACTTCCTAATAAATGAGACAAGCCTAGAGCCGATGTTTATAACTTAAGCTCAAGGTGTTAGGCTAGAAGGGGATGAAGCTGTCGAATATGTAAGAACAAGGGTGACAGAAAAATTTCAACAAAGAAGTGCATTGTGCACTCTATTGGACAAGGATGGATCAAGCCGCGCAGTGGCTCTATTTTCGCAACGAGAGTGGGAAAGGGGTGAGACGAGGGTTCCTAGTAGTACATCAACAGCGCCGGATGACATCCTAATTATGCTGATAAAGACGTTGGGTCACAAGTCTAAGCAGACTTCGAGAGAGGCAGCGAGCAAAACAACAATCGATGGTGAAGTCCCCTATGGATTGAAACTTAGCAGGATCAGCATGACCTATAAAGGAAAGGGGGACAAAGCTGACATAGACAACTACTGTCTTATAACAGTGACATGAGTGGTCTACAGGCTGACGATGCAGATTGTAAAGGAAAGACTGCAGGCATGAATAGAGGACGAGGGGGCACTGGGGGAACTGCAGAATGGGTTTCGGAAACACAGGAGGTTGGAAGACAATCTGTTCTCACTGACAAAGTGAATCGAAATAACAGAAAAGGAACACAGGCCACTGTGGCTAGCATTTTTGGAAATCAAGGGAGCGTACGATGGCGTAGTTCAAGAGGACTTGTGGAGAATACTGGACACACTATAGGTGTGGAAGATATGGAGTCACTAATCTTTTGACTTACATCTATAAAAGAAACAAGATAGTTATAAAATGGGAAAACAGATTTGATTGATATGTGGGGTTTAACGTCCCAAAACCACCATGATTATGAGTGACGTCGTAGTGGAGGGCTCCGGAAATTTCGACCTCCTGGGGTTCTTTAACGTGCACTTAAATCTGGGCACACGGCCCTACATTTCCGCCTCCATCAGAAATGTAGCCGCCGCAGCCGGGATTCGAACCCACGACCTACGGGTCAGCAGCCGAGTACCACTAGACCACCGCGGCGGGGGAGGAAGAACAGGAATACAGGCAAAATTAGAGGGGAGTGGACTTGGCTTCAACCTCTCTTTCAGCAAACAAGGAAAACTCATTGAACAGGCACTACCGGCATTGATGTATGCCAGATGACATAGTGCTAATGGCCGACAACAAAGAAGATTTGCAGAGATCTGCTGTAGTGAGGGAGATAAGAAGGATTTGAGGTGTAGTAAGGAAAAACCAATTGTCATGTTTTTTAATGATAATGAAGGTAGTGAGCTTACGATGCATGAGGTCACGATAACGAATA